AAGATAACGAGTAATTATAGTGAATACCTAGTTCAGTCCCCGTACAATTTAAATTTCTCACTCCTGTTTGCCTCTGTTTATGCCTTATGAATACACTGCCAGTCTAGAATCTTGGACTTCTGTAGTTCATACTGTTGTTATGAATTCCTAATACAACCTAAGTATCATATTTCCCACCATTAAAATCACGTATTCAAATAAACTTCAGTCATTGCCTATCATCTCACCCTCGTGGAAATATAAAGATTATTGGGGGCATTTTGATATATAGTCCTTATTCAGTAGTCTAAAGTTGATAAAACTTCTAATTTTGTAACTGGACTTGGAAGATAAGTATATGGCTTACTAAAGAATCTAGAGTCTTCTGAAAAACCTCTTTCTCTTTAATATGATAACTGAAACAGTTACTTCCTGATTACTATCCTGTTATTTCTCTTGATACACATAAAAAATCTTATTTTACAAACTAATTAGTGATCTAAACCAAAGATCAGAATGTAGAACCAAAAATCTGGATTGCCAAATGTTTCTTGGGTAATTGATTGTATGTTAAACTTTGTGGCTGCCTTGTCCCTGATATAAACGTTCTAAAACATGAGAAAAAGTTTATTTAGATACCATTTATGTACTTTCCAAACTGTCAGAGATTTTTAATTTTTTCAAAAGATGTTATCAATGATTCGATAGATAACATGGTGTTTTGGTTTGAAATATCAGTTAGAAATTTGTATTTTTTTTCGTAGGAGTACTGGAATACCATATTTATGGATGGATAATATAAAGAAGGATGATTCCAGTTCCGTTAAAGGATACTTATAACCATCAGCTTAGGAGGAGAAAACCAAGTACATAAATGGAGAAAACAATTGATAATACTAATTAGCATCGTCTTTAAATCCGAACATCAATATCATTAGAGAAATGTATTATTTTTTAACTGAGATTCTTAATTGGAAACACTTTTGTAATATCAGAAGGGGTTTTTTGGATATTATAGTAATTTCAATGATTAAGATAATGAGTCAGTTGAAGCTAGACCACCATGGAAAACCTGGAAACATTGGACGACCGTTTCGTCCTATTGTGGGACTCCTCGGCAGTGCGCATCCACGATCCCACCTCGCGGGATTCGAACCCAGAACCTATCGGTCTTGTGCGCGAACGTTTAACCACTAGACCACTGAGCCGGCGTCTAACGGTGTTAATGTCTAACTTCAACTAATCCATGAAATTGAACGACAAATCCACCATTGTTATCAGTGAGTTACTATCTCACAACAGAACAACAGAACTGCAGGATATACCTAGTTCTAGTGGGAAGTAGTGACCAATGGAATTCAACCAGGTCTGATAGGTCCTGGGTTCGAATCTCGTAGGGGGTGGGATCATGGATGCGCGCTGCTGAGGCATCCCACAATAGGACGAAACGGTCGTCCAATGGTTCCAGGCTTTCCATGGTGGTCTAGCTTCAACTGACTCATGATCTCAACCATTGAAGTTACTTTTATAATAGGTAACATTAATTCAGGTAACTTTTCATGGGAGTGAAAAGGAACCAATGTTCAGGAGTAATCTCATTTTTCAAGTACATAATAATTTCATGATATTTTGAGACAGATTTAAGTATAAAATAATTATGTCATTCAATATCTTTTAATTACTAAATAAACCAAAAATTATGTCAAAGGCATTGTTCGTTTTCTTGTTTAGGACTGTGTAATTGAAAACATAAATAATTTGTGGTGTTTGATGATGAGGAAAAAACTGTTTTCAAAATTTACTTTATTATAAGTAAGTTTAATAACTCTATCGCATTATTCATTACTGACTTCTTAAAACAAACTGAGGATAAATATTTTTCATACCTTTAGTTGTAAGGTTTAAGTTTTCTCGTGTGAAAACTTGTTTTGCTCAACAACATGATTTCTGTTGAACACACATTAGAGCATCATAGTATGTATTATTATTTTTCAGTTATACAAGACACAAATGCACTAATGACTGTATTTTTACATTTCTTAACACCCGAATAACAGTGTTTTCGCTTTTGGTAGTGTTTAGTTCTATGGATCTGGTCATTTAACTGTAAAACTCCGATTTTGATTCTAAATGATATAATCAGTCTGAAATTGTAAAACTAATCGAATGTTTATGGAACTTATTCAACTTGAAAACAGATCACGCCTCGGACTATCTTCAATGATTGTCTAACTGAGGTTAGTTCATGATGTAAACTATATTCTAATAATATCTTATTAAATTATTCGTGAGTAGTCTATTAAATCCCTTTCTGTTAACTGTGTTATTTTGTCGTAGTTGTCTTGATCTTAGTTCTAAGACCAAAGTTTGACTAGTGTACAATGAATAAAAAACTAATTTAAATGGGATGTCATGGTTAGTTATTCTAAAGATATATTTTGCGAGATTTTGTAAAAGTTGTTTGCATCGATCTAATATTGAATAATTATCGCCCAAAGAGAACAATCTATTTATTAAATACATTTCAATCAACAAAATATCAGCGGTCAGAAGTTGAATAGGGAGAATGGGTATAAAAAAGAAACAACAATTCACTTGCAATTTGTTGACCAATCAAATATAAGATAGAAATCATAGAGCAATATTTTTCATACCTTTTACTACCTACACCTACTTAATTGCCTGGGTGAGAGGGGACGATTTTTCACTATTTTGTATGCATATATTAATGAGAGTGTTGCTCTTCTCTGTGTACCTAATAAATTTTCTAATCAGATTATTATTAAAAAGTTACGAAATTCGCCCTTTTAATTGGAAGAGAAATAAACATTTTCTTCTTGGTAGTTTATTATTGTTGGCTTTTTCCTCATACTAATGCAATAAATATGAGTTTTTCCCTTAGTCTATTAATCTCATTTCAACACTACTTAACCTCACTCAATGAAGATGAGCATCACATCCGCTGTCACAAAATAGTGGTGTAAATATGACTTCAGTCTAAAGCATAACAATAAGCTAGTTCTATTTCTATCCTTATCTGCTCCTCCATTTCTGTTTGTTCTTCATTTCTTCTCTCACATTTTTTGTACTACTAATAAGATATACACTTATCTATACATATATAAATATTCCCAACGATAACGTTCATATGCAATCAGTTGAAAGAAGAAACATTATTGAGTATAATAAATTCATCAATTTCTCGTCATCTGCAATGTTTTCTGGTGAGTACTTTTGATATTTTATAAAGTATATGCTATGATAAAGTAAGGTGTTTATGTACGGTTAAATTTATTAATATCTACAGGTAGTGAAAGTCAATTAATTTGTAAAAGACTGATTAGTGTAATAAAAATGATAGAGCAGTGTACAAGGGTGCATGACATCTTCAACCAATAAATGATATTAACATTTTGAAATTTTTTTGTTGTCAGTTATCCTCCATGTGTTTCACGGTAAGACACTGTCAGATTTTTAAGAAACCAAAAGAGCTAACAGGATTTTAAATGATAGTATTCAAACATTCTTCTGTGTTTGACAAGGTTAGTTTATATGGTGGTTGGAGGTAGTCAACAGGAAACTACCTCCAACCACCATCTAAATCTCAATACATAGTGCCCGCAGTGTCGAGTCACCTAGACTGGTGGCCACATTGCAACATGATCGATAGCATTCGATCTGCACTAATAAGGACTGGACAAGCAAGACATTGATCACCACCCAGTGATCAAGCAATTGTAAAGGTTAGTTTATAAACAGACAGTTAAGGGAATTCCGTTTATACTTGATTTGATCAGGGGTACAGGTATACATGATAGTTTTCTTCTATTCTGTTCAAATAGATTTACTCATTTTGTCACATTCAAGAACGAAAGAAAAACGTCCCCTAGGATTTTCACTGACACTTGATAATATAACTAATGCTTCATTCAAGAAGGATTTTTCATAAAAAATAAACAATTTTTCCCAGTAATTTGAATCAATCTTCTTCAATAATCTAATCAGTTCTACATAATTGCTGTTTTCGTCACAAATTGATGATAGTTGAACAATATCTTCAACTCAGGGAGTGTTGAACAGCTACATTCGAGCAAACTAGGACAGACAAATATTGCATGATAATATTTTTATCCATACTTTTTAATTATTTTCATAAAATCAACCTTATAGTTACTAAACATCCAACAAGTTTATTGTAGGATGTTTAGCTTATAAGAGGATAACTATAAAATGAAATCTATAATGCTAATTAAACTAGTAAAATAATGTTTCGAATTTCTTTTGAGATAACTGTCTTAGTTCATTTATATGTGTGAAACACCTCTGCTGAGATATGAGAAAGGCTACTAACCAATGGACAATTTACCTCTAATGTTTCATTTTCTGATAGCCCGTAATTAATTGAAGAGAAAATAACGAATAGTAAACACATAGAATTACATAATTTTAAATACTCTTAATCGCATCCTAATATCTGTATTAGAACTCATGAACCGAAACTATAGTCCCAATGCTCATAATGTTACATTTCACTAGCCCAAGTTATGACAGTGGTTTTTTCATGATCCATACACCACCAAAACTTAATATTTTAGATACGATCAAGGATATTGCGATTTCGTCTTGATCCTTATAATGTTTTTTATTTATCTATGTAGTTCCTCCAACCATGCTAAAGTAACACTTAACTGTTATCATCTACGTACTTCAGTCAATATTCATAAATTTACACCATTAAGTATATACGAGTGATATTTGATGACAGTATATTTATGGTTAGTTGATGGAAACAGTTGGATATTCTAACTACTCAAAGGCCCCAAAACGGAAAGTATAAATTTTCCAGTATTCTCCGATTTCAGAAGTTCGTTTAAATATTCTTGTTGTTTTACTTAAAAAGAACTGTCTATTAGTGTTAAATTGGAAATCTCATTTTTCTTCAACATTACACCTAATACTTTATAGATAAAGTTTTCAAAAATGGAAGCAATTTTAAAGAATTTGCAGATGGTGCTGACTGGATGTGTACAGATCAGGCAGGTGGTCTGAATAAGTTTGAATCAAATGTCCATGACGAATTACCACTACGCAGCTTGTCAGGAACCAACCCACTTATGGATAGCTTTGATGTTTACCATCATTCCGCATACAAATCGTCAACAAATGAGTTCTTAGAAAAGCCAAGAATTGTTGTTGATAGTATAAAAAATGGTCTTACATCTCTTCATCCTAATAATATGTCAACTCGAGAAGAAATGTCTTCCTTTAAATCGCTGAATATAGTTTATACAACTCAAAGTAATTCGAATCAGATTCAGAGCAAATTAATCAATACTAATAGTATAACAACAGAAATGGGTTCTGTTAATTCGTTGAACGATAATGATTATAGAAAAATAGATTTAGAAGATGGAACATCAACGTTTGGGAATTCACACAATACTCCAACTGATAACAACAATGATTACCTAATAAGAATCAATAACAAGACGACAAATCTGCCTCTTAACTCAGAATTCCCTAGCAAAACACAATATGTGAACTCATCAATGTTGTCTGAGGACTATATGTATAGACGTAACTCAAATGATCATGGAAATATGAATGAAATTAATCAGTACGCTGGAAATTATGAATCCAAAATCTGTAAGTCGATTATATAAACTAGACTACTTGGTTACATATAATCTGACCGTTTTCTGAATTTTGTGTACTTTAAATAAGCCATCAGTATAAAGATATACATTATCCCAGTGAATTGTTATCGTGATAGAATGAAGTTAGATATGCTTTTAATTATAAAAATCACTACCAGACAAATTGTGTCGTGCGATCATTCAACTGATGCATTTATCACTAATGTAAAGTGGGCTAGTGAGAACGTAGATATAAAAATATCAGCAACTGGAAATTAATCTGGTTTCTATCGTTCTACTATTTTCTCTAGTTATTTAGTAAAAAATATCTGATGTGTCATTCAACTATCTCTGGTGAACAACTATTAATCCTTGAGCCAAAAATATTTTTTGGCTGTACATCATTATTTGTTTTTGAGGTCATAAAAAGACTAGCGATATTTTAAAGTTAGCATTACATATTATTTGCCTCATAAGTGTAAATAGAGGTAAGCACATTAAAATAGTTACGATTTTACCATTACATTGATGACTTCAGCTAATGTTTTATAGATATGGAACTCAGGGACATTAGCATTAAGATGGATAGTTGCTGTAAACACGTTGGTAATTTAATTTCATCATTCAGTTGCATACAATGCATTAATTTCAGTTTATTTCTATCTTTTGTTTTTGCAAACACTATACATGTCCAGGATAATAATCTTCACTTTTATTTTAACCCCTTCTCTCAGATTAGTTTCTCAGTTTCTAGCCCTGATTAGTTATTCTGAATATCTATAGGGGAAATATGTCAGTAGAGTTAACGGTCTCAAGGTAAGAAGTCACCATTCAGCAAATAGTCTATATAATAAGTGTAATTATTGATTCATCATATTCGACCTACTCATTACTAAACTAATTTTATTTCGAATCGATAAACTCATTATTAACTACTACACCCTTACAACATCGGAACGACGATATATATATACTGATTAGTATAATCAACTTCTGATATAGAGTCGGTTGATAGAATCAACTATAGTCTTTGGTCGAAAACAGAAGTCGATGGTTTTCTTCTTCTCTAGACAACTTGAACAGTTATAAAGGTCTATAAATTTAGAAACTCTGACGTCCCGTGTTGCATCGTAATTGTTTGAAGTTGATTATTGCTTACTTAGAAATATTAAAACAGGATGAAAAATCTGTTCATCACTGTTTGATGCTCATTAGTTGTCAATTTAATTGTTGTTTTATAGTTTGGGATTTAAGAGAGGGGTAGATAACTTAGTGTGCATTTTTTTATTAACTGGAGTGGAATTATGAAAGATCTATGCTTTATGTCATACAAAGAGGTTATGATTAACCAAAAGCGAATCAATACCTTTCTAATTCAACTGATATACGAGAACAAACCTCATGTTTACATACAATATTGTATCGTCTATTTTTATTAAAAAAGATCCTTACAATTCAGAATCTTCATAAACCATCCACAAATCAAAAACGAAAGGGAACAGAATCATTATAGTTAATAAAATTAATGGCTTAATTCTGTGTTTTTATTTACGTGGAGGTAGAGTTATATATTTTTTTAAAAATAGTTGTATATGAGAGTCTGTGTCAATAAACATCAATGTGGTAGCACGTGTGTATGGCTCAATTCTAGTGAGTATGTTCCTTATCCGATTTTCATAAAAGCTAAATTCTGAATTTTTAAAATAAAATAAAAAGACTAAACAATAGTTGATGGTGTGTGGTTAATAAAAAATCAATTATGTAAACCTTGACTTTTCTCTCAGTTGAGTTTCGAATTACACTAATCGATTATTAATTTTTAAATTAAAATCAATATGAGATTTTCTACAAAGTTATTTTCTTCCAGAGTGGTATTTAATTTAATGAAGAATGTTTTGGATTTACTTAATCATTTAAAGTTGTCTACTTCCGGAAGATAAATCATAATATATTATGGGTTAGTTGGGGATAAAAAATCTCACAGGTGAGAAAGGAATTCGGTGGTTTGAAGATTAGTAGGTTTTGTTGAATAGACTGGCAGCGTAGAGTTGAATAGTAAGAGGAAGGATAAATAAAGACAAGGCGAACACCTATTTCCAATGGAATTCAATAGACAAAGAAATCCTAAATTTGCTTAACAAAATGTAATTATTCATTTTTGATTATATCACATTTCAGTCATCAATGTCAATCTGGAACAATCTGATCTTGATAGGTAAAAGCTGTTTCATTCCTAACTTTGATAGATGCTTTTACTCTTTGATATAATTGGTTGGTCAAGAATGATTAAGTTTCTCAGTGCTAGACCTGAAATATCTTTGAATGAGAATATAGTAATCAATATCAGATGGGTTTTGTGGATATTATAGTAATTCAATGATTAAGATCATGAGTCAGTTGAAGCTAGACCACCATGAAAACCTGGAAACATTGGACGGCCGTTTCGTCCTATTGTGGGACTCCTCAGCAGTGCTTATCCACGACCTCGCCCCCTGCGAGATTCGAACCCAGGACCTACTGGTCCAGTGCTTCCAGGTTTTCCATGGTGGTCTAGCCTCAACTGACTCATGATTTTAACCACTGAAATATAGTAATCATTAAAATGATGATTTAGTTATAAATATGATAGTAAATTATTACTTAATTCGTTGAGAGTCCCTAAAAAACGATTATCTATGCACTTGGAGATTTCAATATAAATAAACTGTGTTCAACATATTGATTCCCAACTTTTAACAAATCCGCTCAAATTAATTAAAATAGTTTTGGTGAGTACCATTAGGAGTTTCTTGGAAAAAAAGCATTTTATTGTTTTGGTTTTTGTGCTTACTTTTTTCCAGTTAATTCATTTTACATTCCACCTTTTCCAAATGATTTGAATACAGAGTCTTGTTTAAACTCAACAATGGACAAGTCCACTTGCTTAAATCATGGGATGAAATCGAGACCTCAGGGTGAGTAATATTAGATAATGACCAGTTTTTTTTCATAGTTTTTTGTGTTTTAATTCGCCAATAATCTTTTAAGTTCGCACTATTTTTATACACATTATCACATAGAAGAAAAAGCTCTCGCCAAATAAATAATGCGAAAAACAAAAACAAGCCATATATATCATCGGTGAGTTTCATTAGCTACATGAGAGATAAAAATAACAAAATGAATTTTGTCGTTTTTGAATAACTTGTACTGTAGAAATTCAGTCCATGTGTCACGTTAACATAGTTTTTAATTAATGTAGAGTGCAAATATTGCACACATCACTCATTTCAGGTGTGAGGCAGTTACCTACCGAGGATAATGCAGGATGGTCGCGCGACATCATGGATTGGGTGAAGTTAGAAATTAACATCGCCGTATGCCGGTTCAACGGTCTAGATGTAAAGCGTTCACTTGTGAGACTAGGGGTCCTGGGCTTAGATGCCGCGTGCGGAAACGTGGGTGAGCACTTCTGAGAGGTTTCGTTCTAGGACGAATGGTCGTACAGTGCTTCCAGACTTTCAATGGTGATCTAACATCGATCGGTTGATCATTTCAATAAATTCCAGTAATATTATATTTCATTTAGAACTGACCATTTTCGTTACTTTTCTCCAGCATTATCATATAGTAATGGCATATTTTCTCAATCATATACTAAACTTCTTTCTTTAATACATTTAGTGGATAATTGCTTGATAATTCTATTTTTCTGGCTGTGTAGTTTACTTAGCAAACCAGAAACTGTATTTTAAGTTCACAAAACGCACCCATGCTTTTATTTACATAGAAACTAATTAACTAATGTTAAGCATTAGACAGTTTCAATCCCAACTATTAAAATCTGAACATTAACTGATTTAACTCTATCGTCATTATTGATTTATGTTAATATTACTTGCATGGGAAAGTGGAGATTATTTATCTATAAAAGTTTATCAAAGACCGAACAAATTGACTGTACTCTTTATTTATCATAAGGTGTTCATAGTAATCACATTTTCAAACTTATTGGATCACTGTGAGGATTAGAAAAATGGGTTTAAGATTAGATTTTCAATAACTTGAGTCCACTTGTTTTTATACTATAAGTTGGCTGATAACTTAGTTATGACTTTCATAATATAAATTATAGGATAACTATATGCAGCTTTGTTGATTAATTTGCAAGAAAAGATCTAAATTTAAACTTCAGAATGTTAAATTGTGATGTTTTTTAGTCATAAGAAACTATTTTAAATAATAAAATATCAGGAAAAATGTTTATGGTCTATTTTTTTAGTGACTGTGTTTAACCTATAAACTCCCTCGATGCAGGTTCTGTAGTTATATTTCTACACTTTTGAAGACGCCAATAACTACAAGTGATTTATAGTTCAATGTCTTTTTGATGACCACATTATTTACCAGATATTAGTATGAATTCATTGGTACAGTATTAGTTAGTTAATTATTAACTACGAATTTTATTTGGCGTTTCATTTGCTGAAACTTAAAATATGTCATTGTCATTAATGCATGAGTTTACGGGTTTACATAGGTTATCATTTTTCTGGATATTATGTTGATAATTGTTTTAGTTTTGTATATCCTACTCCCGAAAAATTTAAATAATGTCAACAGTAATGTTTTGTAACAGTACTTGTTTTGCACTACCGACCAGTTCAGTTAATTAGCATTAGTATTATTGAAAGACATTAGTGAGTCTTAAGTTTTCATTATCTTGAGTTTTTTTCATTGGAATATAGTAAAGTGCCAATTCTGGAAAAAGACTTTATAGGTGGTATACTGTAACAAATAGAAGCTATCATATATGTGTAGATTTCAGAAATCAATGTCACAGTAACATAGAGATTACGTAGCCATTTCTTAAAAATGAACTACTTTTATTGCTTTGTTGCATAATAAATATTGTGGGTACGTAGAGTAACATGTTACAGTTGATATTAGCTGGTCGTATTTTTTGCATAACATCCGTCTGATAAAAGTTATTACCATAATGCAAGAAGATCTTGTCATAAATTAGTCTGTTATAAAAGTGTAGTGAACGGAAATGATTTTAGAAATGAATGGTTTACTTTTAACTCGGTCTAAACTTTAAACAAAGGGATTTTATGGAGGTCATCACAACTTGTGGGTGAAAGTCGTCACGGATCAATTTCAAGTGAGATACCATTACAAGCTGGAAAGCATTTGACAGTCGTAAAGTCCTAGTAAGTGAGCTCCTTAAAAGTGTGTTCCCACGACCTCGCCAGAGTGGGTTGTATAATATAGGATTTGAAGCACTTTTAGCTGCAGAACTCAACATCATGGTTTTATATCTGTGCATAAAAACACGTTAATCATTAAAAGTATCACCAGATATTTTTAGCTCACAAACCCACCCAACTGACTGTCGAAACAAATAACACATGATTAGGATTGAGTGAATTGTATTTAAAAAGAACATTTACAATTGATTGATCACAGGATAGTGGTCAATATCATGTATATCAGGTCCTCCTTAGTGCAGATCGACACGGGGTTGAATCTGTCAGGGAAAATCAGTTACCTCAAGATTACAGATACACCTTACTGACGAGTGCCAAATAGCACCAAAACTAGGTCCATGTTTTTCTGTCAATTACCTCCAACCACCATCTCATCTCAAAAAGAACCTTAAAGTGAATGACATGAAAGATCATGTATGCAACTCAGATTTTGATGGAAGGAAACGATAATCTTTTTCTGAAGCGTACACAGTTTTGTAGCTTTATGGGCTCTAATTTGAATGAAAAAATGAAAGTGTGATAAAAATGTTTTGAGAAAATGTATGTTCCTTTTTCAGTTTCAAACATTTAGCTACAATAAACAGAACATCGTTTTCCATTATTCCTTAAAATCTGATTCTATGCTTTCAAGTTATTCATTTATTTTCTTGGATGATATAGTACACCGAATTAGTCAACATTTCTGACGCTGAAAAATTCTCATCATATATATATTTCAATACTTTTGTCACAAAAAGTCGCCTAAATAATACTGATTACTTAAAACAAGAATTTTTGTGAGTACTGATTGCTTTTATTAATACTGCCATTCCCCGTTTTAAGTTTTATTTGCGTGAATGTATGTGAAGGAGAGTGAGAGGAAGAAATAAACTTCGTATCAACAAAGATTCTGTTTGGTGTTGAGCTGAAGATTTACATGAATTTCGCGAAAGTTCTATCTAAATCGAAATTAAAATTACTATCATAACTAAGATTTCTTTAGAAAATGTTGTCTAGATGATTTTGACTTTCCTTCTGGTTGATAATTTCTCCTCCGCTTTTTCCTTTTATTGTTATTTGTAGATAGATTAAAAGTTATAAAGAAGGGTGAAAACATTTATATGAATTCTTGCTTCTTTCCATAAATTATGTATATAATGCTACTGACTTATTTTCATGTTGACATTAACGAGGCGAATAAAAGAAGTTTATTGATTTAGTTTACTCACATGTACACATAAAAATTGTTTATTTATGCGCATAGATTCTAGTCAGTCAACAGATGGTATGACCCTGTTTTATTAGAAACCATAACTAAATGCCAAAAGACATGGCTTGCAACATAGGCATATTTTAGAAAATTTATTTTTAGATATAAAATAAAGGTTGATTACTACATTTAATGAGGACAGAAATCATATTTGAAAAATTAAATTCACTGCAACCTAATGTTTGTAGGTTTCCCTTATAACTAACTAGGACAGTCTTCAGTAGTGAAAATCAAAGGAATAATAACTGGCTCTGAATAGTTTCATGTGAAGCATAAAAGTTATAATTCGTAAATTAGTTACCTGTAGGCTACATACACATAAAATGAATAAGCTTGGTTTGAAATGATCCTCGAAGAAGAAGGTCGATTTAAGTCAGAAATGGTGGACTATTTTCTGATTGCTTTTCGATTGTTGTCGCTTGATGAATAAGACGACTTTCACTTTGCTCAAGACTCTACAAGCAAATAATCTGGAAAAAGACATTATTTAGCTCAACCAGACTTCAAAGATAATTTGGTTCAAAAAACTGATTTATTATTCGAATTCGAGCAAGAATGTTTGACAGTGTACGTTCCTTATCTGGAGTTGTGAGTATGTGCTCTTTGAACAATAAGCTTTCAGATCTTCAATAGGACTTTGAAACAAACAGGTGTTTGTACCTATCAGAATTAATGGATGTGGAATAATTATTGGATTTGAACATAACGGGTAATCGCACACTCATTCTCAACTTTTACACATTCGTTTCATCAGCTCATCACAGTATTCCTCCCTCATTATGTACGAGTCACGTTACAACTCAGAAACTTGAGCAGTGTTACTACGTCTCTCGTAGGTAGTGTTGGGGGTATTCAGCCAGATTTTTCTAATTAAGATTACAGATACCTTAAAAAAATTATCCTATCACGTCCACCTTAAAGAGTATAACAATCTGAGTTTAAGTTTATTTGTCACCCTTAATATTCAAATCTAATGTAAACACTATTTGATAGCTAAAACAAACAAATCACTTTAAACAGCCAGTTTCTTCTTGAAACTCGAGATATTGACATTATGACGGTTGTTATACCACAGTCAATAATGCAGGCATACTGGTGTGGGACCAATAAGAAAGAACAACACAATAGTCTAACAAACAATCTAATCTTTAACTAACTTTCTTAGGAACATCTGAGTATAATTTATATTAGGATCGGCCTTGATATTAGGCATGACAGCAAAAATTACTCTATATCTATCTATCTTTACTGTTCATTTGGTAATTTGAAAGTAATCAAGAATTATGGATTGCTATATCTTATTCGGTGAACTGTCAAAGAATTAGGATAATTTTTGTTGTTTACACACTTAGTCCTATGGTCAAGTAAGAAAGTGGTCAGTCTGAAGAAACATAGTACTCGTTTCTCATCAAGTGAGAAGATAAAATTTAAGCTTTTTTGACATTTTATGACTTATATGTGTTTATTGGTCAATTAAAGTTTTCTTTCTAGTGAATTAATTTATTATTTAAAGAAAAAATTGAAATTCAACATTAAGTTTATTTTAAAAACGCATAAACCAAATTTTTGAAGGTTATAAATCATCAACTTAAAGGTATGAGATCGATTTTCCTCTTAAACGTCTAACCACTTGAAAAAGTTTTACGATAATGATTCTGCAGTTATTAATCAATATTGTTTGTAATTCGATGGGAAGGATAAATTTGACAAATAAATAAAACTAAAAAGTAACACTAAGTGATAATGTAAAGCCTATTTGTGAGTCTGAAAGCGAAAATAGAATTCTAGATAGCCATTTTAAAACCCTCGGGTTTGAGGTGTGAAATAAGTTGGGCAGTAATCATACAGTATTAAGGATGTATTTCCAAACGACTTTTGTTTTAAAATGAATAACTTTGTGTTGATGCTCGTTTCATCTTCTACTTGTAATCTTGAGTTATAAACCCCTAAGTAACTGACCATATGAATGAATTCTTTGGTTGCTTAACCATTACAAGTATGTATTAAACAGTCGATATTTCAAGGATAACCAACTGTGACAGGTAATGACGGTAAACTATTTAAAAATATGTAATAATAATTTCTAAAAACCGTCCACTTAGAAGGAAAAGCCGCATTTAGATTCAATATTCAGTATGCTATCACTTTAAACAGTAAATCTGAGATTTGAAGTAGACGCTGATGATATGGTCTTCAATAACCATCAAAGCTTTAAGATTACCCCATCCCAGCTCATATAGCTCAGAATCACTAAAAGGTAATAAGCACATCAAGATTCATTACTCAGCGACATGTGTAGTATGACTTCATTTAGGTACTAGCAGTAAGCAACACCTTGATTGGCATTCGGCTCGTTCACATTTACTCTAAAGCGATCCATTTCTAATTGCTCGTGAACTGCAAACACGAGAGAATCAAGCTGGCTTCAGACCTGGTCGTGGCTGCATCGACCACATATTCACCACTCGTCAGGTTCTAGAACACAGGCATACTTATCGACATCCGACAATGGTGTTCTTTCTTGACTTAAAAGCAGCATTTGACTCGGTAGACCGCGAGATTCTGTGGCAGTGTCTGTCATTGAAAGGCGTACCTCAGAAGTACATAAACCTTGTAAAGGCTCTTTACTCGAACACTACTAGTCGAGTCAGAGCTTATGGCGAACTGTCATCTACTTTTGCAACCTCAAGTGGTGTCCGTCAAGGCTGTCCACTTTCTCCATTTCTGTTTAACTTCATCATAGACCTACTGATGGAAATAACATTCTCGTTGACTGAATTCTCGGGTATTGATCTCCTACCAGGAGGTCCACTTATCGAATTAGAATACGCAGATGACATAGTCCTGTTTGGTGAAGACGCTGACAAAATGCAGAGTCTTGTGGTAGCACTGAGCAACAATGCCAGAATGTTTGGAATGCGCTTCTCTCCCTCTAAATGCAAGTTTTTGCTTCAGGACTGGTCTGCGTCAACACCTGAACTAAGGATAGGGAGTGAAGTAGTCGAACGCGTTGACAACTTCACTTATCTTGGAAGTCTGATCAGCCCTAATGGGTTGGTGTCTGACGAAATCTCAGCACGGATTCGAAAAGCTCGTTTGGCTTTTGCCAACTTACGTCACCTGTGGCGAAGGCGAGATATCCGTCTATCAATAAAAGGACGAGTATACTGCGCGGCAGTCCGTTCTGTTTTACTTTACGGCAGCGAAACATGGCCATTAAGAGTAGAAGACACTCGTAAGCTACTAGTATTTGACCACAGATGCCTTAGAAATGTTGCTGGCGTCTGCTGGGATCACCGGGTAAGTAATAGTGAGGTTAGACGCAGGGTATTAGGTAATGATGGTAAATCAGTCGATGAGGTTGTGAATCTTCATCGACTGAGATGGTTGGGCCACGTGTTACGTATGCCCGAACACCGATTACCACGACGTGCAATGCTAACGGGTGTTAGAGATGGTTGGAAGAAAGTTAGGGGCGGCCAAACCAAAACGTGGCATCAGTGCTTGAAGTCACTAACCTCTAGTCTGAGTCATGTTGGTAGATGCAGACTACTTGGTTGGGGTCCGCGTGACTTTCGTAACCAATGGTTGGAGACCCTTGGTGACATGGCTCAGAATCGATCACAATGGCGTAGGTGTATACACTCCCTGTCTTCCCTTAAACTAAGAGATTAAAATCACTTCATATCTTTCTTTCTACTAACTAATTCTTTCTTCATGTTCTGTATCCTTATATGCAATCTTTCCCCTATATATTACCACCTTTGACCTAACCACTCCTATGAATCCGGTGTTCATCTTGCTGTGCTAATGAGGTATGGCAACCTGGACCGATGCACATATGTGCCTGGTCCTACGTTGTAACTGACTGACTGACTGACTGACTGAGCTCGGATTGGATCAAGATTTTAACTACTGGTTAATTTGAGAGAGTGCATCTATGACTCTAAATAGGGGATTTTTAGTACTATGATTACATTGATAAGCTAAGGCTTTAATATTTCTTCATTACAGTTTTCTCTTGTGGCAGATATCTCCGGATAGAAAGTCAATACTTGAAAACACCCACAAAGTTTTTAGGAACAGTGAAATAATTCATCCATAAGTAATTTATTAATCCTCAACATTTAAGCCTGTTCGTTGACTCTTTCAAACAAAAAGCTCAACTACTATGCTTGGTAATTCAAATATTATGAAGCGTTTTTCTTCACTTCCGACTAACTACCACAAATCATTTCCCAATAGTTCCCCAAGGCAAACATTTTTAAATAAGCTGCTCGAAAACATCACAGAACAACATACCTTTCTTGCTGCAACAAAGCGTGATAATCAAAAACTGTTCAGTCAAAAATATAATAAACGATGGTACGATAAACGGTTTTAAGCGATTTTACATATATCATTCCATTGCCATAAATATAACTGATGACTATCTACATGTTTTCATTAACAACAGGTTCTGGACAGATCCAGCTATGGCAGTTCCTGTTAGAACTGTTGGCAGATAGTCAAAATATAGCATGCATCACGTGGGAAGGAAATGATGGTGAATTCAAGTTACTCGATCCAGACGAGGTGGCAAGACGATGGGGTGAGAGGAAGTCAAAGCCGAATATGAATTACGACAAACTGAGTCGTGCTCTACGGTACTATTACGACAAAAATATTATGACTAAAGTACACGGAAAAAGATATGCATATAGATTCGACTTCACAGGTCTTGCACAAGCTATGCACTCATCGTGTTCGCCAACTTCTTCCCGTGGATTGTTGACGTCATCACCAATTCGTGGAACACTTCCAGACTGTCGGGTAACTCCACATGTTTATCAAATGAATTCTACTCAAATCATAGTGATAGCGACTTGGATCAAAGGGTGGTGAAATTCCAGATAAATCCAGGATTTCATGGAAAAATATCCAAGTTGCTGCAGCCGCAGCTGCAGCAACTTGTTATTTAAATTGTCCTAATAAACAGCTATCAACTTCATTCAGTGATATAAATGATCTCACTTCCTGCCCATTGTCTAATTTGCAGAGGAATAAAATTTCCAACAACGGATTTTCAAAAACGCACCAAACCATATTACGTCTTTAAGTTCAGACTTTGATAATAATCTATTCATGGCAACTCCAACTACTGGAAGTGAACGACATGATGAAGACACATCTAAATTACCTCATCCTTTAGGATTTCACACTGATCATCATGATATTCAAACATTTAGTGAAACGAAATTCTTATCTCAAGAGAGGATCAACTCTTCTATTTTATCAGGACATTACACCCATTTGTTGAATCCATTGTTATCCATTGACAGTCATAATCAGTGGGATATAAACAGTATTCCACATGATTTCGATCAGCCATCTACTTATTTTAAATCACTTTCTGATGTCAACAATAAAATGAAATACCTACCTGCCAATGAAAATTGTTTTACTCAACCCTGTGTAAATAATGATTTACCATTTCTGGATTCAGTACAGTCGACAAGTGGTCTTAAAAATTCATCTAACCTATTACTTGACTGGCAAAATACTCCATATTGTTGTTCGTCATCCACGTCTGTAGTGTCACCATCTAACTCACAAACATCCAACAGTAATTACAACAATTCACGACCTCAACGATTTCAACATGTTTACAGCCACGTGCTAAATGGTTGTTCCATCCATGATTAGAGCAAAAATAACTGGCAAGACTAAAAATCAAAACCAGTATCAACTACTGCTATCAACTAATAGCTTGTAAATATGATTTGCAGACTGGTTATTTTCATATGATTTATAAAACGCAAACTACTTTCTTTGTTGTTTGGAAGCATATTTTTGTCGAGTTTTTTGTTACCCTATACAGTGTAAATACTATTCAGAAATAAATTTTAATATGAGTTCCCAAGATCCAAGTTGCAGTAGTAGTGAACAAAGACTTCCTGGTGTTCTGCCTGGGACTCATTCGGAGAGTGATAATATCATTCTGTAGATGAATAAAGATATTCACGTACTGGATAACTATTTAAACGATGAGGTCACTGCATTAGTTTGTCCCACAGTGTCCGGACAGTCCATGTACCTACGTTAATTATTGCTCTGCTTGTCGGAATGTGTATTGGCCTAGTGATTTCCGAACAGTCTCGTCTCTCACCACAATGCCTCATAATTCTCTTGAATGAAGATCCCTCAACTCATAGGGCACAGTTTAAGTGGTTTGAATTGTTTTCCTCCTGGTTAGCGTTTTTTTTAGCAATTTTCTTCTATGAAATGGGTTTGTAATCCCATGTCTAACCCACTTCCTCTTTCTGGGCTTGAGACCGGCAGTAACCCTAGAAGGACTACAGGCGGAGTCGGGAAATTACATAATCGTGATGAAATTAATACATGGTTGTGAAATTAATCTACATAATTAAAAGAAAAACAAAAATAGTTTGCGAGCTCCGATAAGATTGTGTAAGAAATAAAAAAGTTATTGTATCACAATTATATTTACTAAAGTTAGGAGAGGAAAAAAACTATATAGTAAGTTTTAAACTATGTAACATTAAAAATAACCTTAACAATATAAAGAATAACAATATCTGAAGGAAATATTCTCTGATCTTAAATTATTCATAGAGAATGAGAAAATACTACTATGCACTCAGAAAATCTAATTAATTTCGGAGATTTGTACCGATGCGACCAAAGTAAAATTGGCTGGGTGAATTGGTGACTTTAGGAAACATATGATATTGGCAGTCAGTAAATACAGTTACTTTGAATTTCAGTTTTAATATAGCTAAAACTTTTAATCATATTGAGATTTCTAAAGATCAACAATATTATTTTAGATTATTTCAGTATTAGTCAACAGAAAATTTGATAACAAAATAGAATAAAATAAATAATGATAATAATAAAATTTGATACATCCACATTGGTTAGGTATCCAACTTTGTAGAAGCATAGCGGAACAAGTGGTTAAAGAAAGTAATGAATATCGTAAGGACCGAGTTTAGTTTTAAGTGATCTCAAAGAGAACTAAAAGTGAACTTAAGGAAGTTGTTCTTTCCCATCACTCTAGACAGTTGTTATATTGATTCAAAAATGGGATCTTCCATTATGAGAAGTCTTTTCTACTATTAATCAGTCTCCATTTGAATTTCTTGACAAGTTAGGTTTTCGAATTTGGTAGGTCCACACACTTGTTACACAAGCGAACTTAGAATTCTTATATTCAGCTATCTTGAAAATTGCTTCTAGTAGGCAAAATAGAGTTATGCAACTCAGTCGTCGCTTGCATACACATGTGATTTAGGGAAGTGTTTACATGCGAATGAGTATACTTTATTCATATCTATAGAGCCTTTGGGGCATATTTGTAAGAAATCACAAGTGGATAGAAAAATTAGGCAACGGGAAAGTTTTTACTGTGCCAAATAGCTTCAGATGGATGATTAGTTCATCATCATTATTTCCGTTAGCCTTTAAATTATTAATGACCCTCGACAAAAAATCAAACATCGGTCAATCAAGGTTGAATGAACTGTATCACATAAGCCAAAGTGATCATAATTAAAAGATATGTATGTGTGTCTATATATGTGTGTGTTTGGATATGTGACTAGTAAGTTTGAGGTGAAAATATATGACAAATACTAACTCAGTGAAGCACATAAGTTTCTTAAAAATAATTATCACAAGCTAAATTTCAGTTAACATCAGTGAAAATTGTAAAAAATTATTTTACTCATGAGAGTGAAAAATGTTTCGTCCACGTAGTTTGTGAGTGGATTGAAACTTAATAAAAAAAGAATTATTATTTAGTGGTTTCGCAACTTTGTTCATTTAAATATTAAATTTCGAAGCAATGGGCATGTTTATAATTGCGATTAGGGACCTATAAAATGTGCATCTTTGACTCCTCACAGTAACTGTAGGACCACCAGATCGCATGAAGAATATATCGCAGTTTAAATTATTTTATTGAAATCTAGTATCGGTGTTTTATATACTAAACATTCCATTTCCATGTTGATAGGATCATATGAACAATACAACAGCTAGGAGTGATACATTTAGATTTTTTGTTGACATTCTTAATTTTAAAGTTAATCCAACTTTATTTCTCTCAGTTGCAGTGCAATATTTGTGACAAGTTTAACGATTTATAAACCGTTTTAAGAAATTACACACAGGACTGTTTCAATAATTATCTAACAGTAAAGATTAGTTATTCTGTTATACATATTAGTTAGGATATAATAAATATTTGTATAGTGCTTACTGTGCATCAGTATTTCAGAAAACTAGTTGAATGAAATAGGCACGAACAACGATAATTGGAGAGACATTATCAACTGAATATCAAATTTAACAGAAATCCCTTCCATACTTTCCAGATAAGAAAAAACTATTACAGGACCATGTCTGATTAGTTGCAACTAATTTTTTCAGATTGGGAAGAACCAATGACGAATGTGAATGGAATACCTGTTCTCAATAAGGCTCCTCAAGAATCCTTAATTATGCGAAGTTTTTAACCAAAAGGCAGTCTCTAGATTTAAAAAATAATTATCCGTTAACCAGCCATCTTATGAATTATTATTAATAAATATTATTTATGTCGAAATAGAGTTGCTTTTATCCATGTGTGAATCTCCTTTGCCGATTGATCAAAGGGTTTTATAGGCATCTTTGAGATAATCCAAGATGCAGTTCATTACTTCAAAGTGGAAGACAAGAGAGAGAGAGAGAGAAATTTTACCAGAGTTTGTAGCTTTCAGAATTTATCGCTTTGTATTTAAAACTTCTTTTGTACTTTTGTTCATACTAAAAAGGGGGGACTGCCAGTTTCTGTCAAGTTCCACTTTTCTACATATATTTTTACAGAACTCTAGAATCACAATATCTCAAAGAAAACCAGTTTGTAAATTTACTGCTTTCAATGATGTCATACCTAAACAAAACCCAGGAAGTGGAGTGGATCCTTTACATGAGGTATTTTGACGGGACAACTAAAACAAAGCTGATAATATCACAAATAATACTAAATGGCAATCAAAATTTTTAAAAACAATTTACGTTTAACCAGCAGGACCTTCTCATTTAAATATTAGTGGAGAAATCACAGTATCGTCCAGAAAATTTCTCTAAGTAATTAAACCACTATGTACTCCTACCTTAAATTATCGGGTCGCATATATTTCAGCAGCTCATTATAAATGAGGTCAATAAAAGCTTGATGAAGTGATACCCTTTTCAGGTTTATAACTCACTTTTATTTGGTGTCATACAAACGTAGTTTCAATGCATCACCTCTGAAGATGTGGAATACAGACAAATATAAGCAACTGTTCAGTCCTATTAGAGTCTCCTTGTTTAAATGATTAAGGAAACTTTAAGTAATTGATGTACAGTCATGTTTTTATCTTTTAGGCTGTTTCCTACTCAACAAGACAAACAATTGGTGATTGTCGGTCAAAAAGCCTATTCATGCAAGATTCATTTTAGGTTTCACATTATAACAACTCTATTTTCGGAGAAAGTTATTTGTTATTGATGGAACTGGAATAGATGGAATTTCACTTTCCCTGACTTATCTATCAATTTTCCACGTAACCCTCTAGGTTTATCAAAAGTTATCAAAAGGTTTATCACTTGTTGGTCATTCCCACTAACATCTTATGTCACATGGAGAATTCTGTTGAGAAATCTCCAATTCATAGAACTGACTAGAATAACTTTATTGAAAGGAGAGTAATCTCAGTAAATTAAATTTATATAAATTCTAAACTTATTTTGTTTCTAAAATAATTTTAATAACACACAACCACTTGATAAATTTTGCCAACATAACACCAACTTGACAAGTTTTCATAAAATTGGCTTAAAAAATTCATGTTAATTTTTTAATAAATGAAAATCATTTGTTGTTTTTCCACAGTTATGAAGGATAATATTAATTTGTCATTTTCAAAGAAAAAAATTCAGTCGCAAAAGTGACAAGTATTACGTGACTGTTTCAAATTTCTATGCAATATCCGTTCTAAGGCATTTATGCACATCACTTTAGGCATACGAACACTTATGTACACATAAAATGTATGAAATACGAATCTATGATGACAATATCGTTCGTTATTCTCTTTACAAATTTTGTTAGGTTAATAATGTGTTTTCTGTTTTGGTGTTCAGCTTAGCCAATCATAGATTTCTAGTATATATATGAAGGGGATTTTTATTCTTGTTAAATATACACCAGACAAAAGTTCGAGCTTAAGTTGGAGTCGATGAACATTGTGCCCTAGTCGCTACATTCTCTAAAGTCCTTATGATCACTTTCCAGAACAGAATTATCAGGTACCAAGAAGTTTTAGCTTTTAATTAATTAGACTACAATTAGGTTTTTTGATTCAAACTGAACATGCAAGTTTGCTAGGAAAACGAAAGTTAATAAAAGTGAATTATAAATATTCTGTGAAATAAGTGTTGAAAAATATTTGCAAAAATCTGTCAAAAATCTCAACTGGATTTTCGGCAAGCCATTAGTTAGCTCTTAAAATACTTCATCGGTAGATAAATATTTTTGTAAAAATTCAGTAACAGAAACATTTTTAGTGTACTCAAGAAATAAGTCTAAAAAGGATTTAAATGCTGTTGAGCTTATTTTGATTATTGCTACTAGGAGTTACGATATAAATGGT